CCCACTTTTCCTACGGGAAGCGCTGCCGAAATTTCTACAAATCCGAAAGAGTTAGTCATTTTTGAACTTGTAGAAATTCTGGGAAGGCACTTTTTCCTACGGGAAGCGCTGCCGAAAGTTTGCAGAATTTAGAAAGTTATAGTATTTTCAGCTAGGAAAGATCTGGCAATCCATCCTGTTTAGGGGATATGCTGCCGAGATATCAGAGGTTAGTTAGAAAGGTAGGATCATTTCTTGATCACTCAAGCATGGCTTGGGTACTGGCCTGTGCTGCATTGCAGGTCACCTTTATTCAGATTGATCAGGGCTTGGCTAGTTTCAAGTTGATCCTACAAAGATCATCTTCTGTTATCTTTTGATAACAGGCCGGTTTCCGGCTCAACTCTAATTCACTCTTAYCACTCAACCTAAAGGCTTTAGCCGTGTGGTTTGATTTGTTTGTTGTGTTTTCACCCGGACTTTAATTGAATGACCATTTATTAAGGATACTGAGTACTTTATTTTGAGAGTTGCGCAAAGAGTGAGGCTTGTGTAGCTGAAGCAAGGGGTGTGAGCGCAAAGAATGGTTGAAGTTGATCCCGTGTAGCGTGTGCTCCATTGATGTGGATCTTTGATGTGATTGCAGGTATGTTCTGTGAATTGGAGTCCAGACTGGGTTTTGCATATGATTATACATGTGAATATATATAGTTGAAGGAAGCCACACCGTGATTGTGAGAGTGATCGTCTCCTATCTCATAACTCTTATATCATGTTCTTGTGTCCGCTCGACCCATTTGAGGCCGTGCGTAGTSATTAAGTAAGTTTTGCACTGAGAGAAAAGGAGGATCCTTTTTGACCTTTTACTTTTTAGAGTTATTATGGTTGGACGTTGCAGTCCGTGGCAGCCGTCAAAGTCAAACCCCTTGATCTCTGGTCGCCACAACAACTCTCATCAGAGAGCACGGGGCGGCTCTGAGCCTTTATCAACGGTTCTCTGCACCACCCTCGTCTCAGCGGCGAGGCATGGAGCTTGTGTACCCTGTGCAGACGAGGTTTGCCACCCACTACTTGATGCTGGAGAGGCTGYTGGATCGTCGCAGAGCGTTGGAGGCGTTGATGATGAGCGACGATTGGCTGCGGACTGCATGGAGGAGGTCCATTTTTCTGCAGGCCAGATGGGTGCGTCATCAGGTGCGGTACGCGCCATTCTGGGAGCACGTGGAGGACATCGTGGCGCTCATGACACCTGTGATGCAGTTGCTACGGCGTCTGGACAGGGGGGGGCGCGTGATGACTCGCATGTGGTCGTGGGGTTTTGTCATGGTCGACAGGGTGGCGAGAGCAAGCCTTAACAGGACGTCGAAGGACGAGCTCCACATCGTTGTTCAGGCTTGTCAGGCGCGGGTCGCTCATATGTTGGATCCCGCACATTACATGGCCCACCTCCTCAATCCGCGACAGAGGAGCATTACTTTTTTGGGAGCGGCGAGGCATACCGACCACGAGCGGATACTGGCAAACGAGTCGTTGCGATACCTTCGCCAACAAGCTGATGGTGACGAGGATTTGTATCAGACGTTGCGCACACAGCTGGCGGAGTTTCATTCTCGGGAGGGCGATTGGACGTATGGAGGGGCCGAGGGAGATAGGGATGCGGGCGCCTGCAAAGGGGAGAAGGAGACGTCACAGGTGGGGCAGTGGTGGGTTCAGCACGGGGACGGGGTCCCTCTCCTTCAGAGCATCGCCATTTGCTTGTCGCACACATGGACGTGCGCCTCTCCGGCAAAGAGGAATTGGGCCGTCCATGAGCGTGTTCAGGTGAAGAGGCGTAATCAGCTTGGTTTAATCAAGCTGACTCGTTTGGTGGAGATATCCACCAACTTGAGATTGAGTCGTTGTCAGGGGAGGGGTTCTGGGTACGTTCTTCCATGGGAGGACGTCGAGGAGGAGACAGAGGACGCTATTCCTCCGCCTCGTGATGAGGGTGTTCGGCCGGCTGACCGAGTCACCGAGGCACAGCGCGACCGGCAGGTTCAGCGCGGGCGGAAGGATCGCCTTTCAAAGGCACCTCCCAGCGTCGCGACGTATTGCGGTCGTCGCGCCACGGTGCTCATGGCGCATGAGTTGGAGTCGGTGTACGATCCCGAGCCTGAGCCTATGGCTCAGGACGCGATGGAGGCCGAGCCGTGGTCCGATCCGGACGACCTGGCCATGGAGTCAGAGCCAGGAGGTTCTGATGACGATGACAA